CTGTTGTGGAGAGTGTGATCTCTTCCTCCATCATCTGGTTTTGTTTCAGCATCTTTTTCTGGTTCAATTTGCTTGTTTTCTAAGCCAAAACAAGTTTTTGGGCTGCCATAAAAAGCTTTGAAATGCTAATCCTGACATTTTGAATTTTAATAGCTTCCTGGGGGAAGTGAAACGTCTTCAAACTTGAAAATAAAGTCCAGTGGATTTTTAATTTTTTTTTTTACTCTTTTGGAATGACTATGACCTGAATGACTGCGAATCTTCATCAGCATATTTTTGATTGTACATTAGCTAAAAAGCACTTTTTGCACTGATGAGATAATCGAATAGTCAGAATATTGTTTGTTCACAATGGAGAAAAACTTCAAACATGTGATGTACTGATGACTCTCATCAGTGATCCTTAGAGAGCAGTGGAAGATATAATGGGGAATGAGAAAATATATAAACCAAGCCAAGACAGAATGTTTGGGTCAGAGAGCTGCAGTCCTCTGATGATGGCAGCACAAGAAGAAGCAGAGCTCTGTTTTCCACACCTAAACAACTCCTGCAGGAGGATAACATCTTCTTTGTCAAAAACTGTGCTGCTGAACACTTTGCTTTCCTTCGTTGCTCTGGTTACTGCAGTTCTCAATCTGCTCATCATCATTTCTATTTCCCATTTCAGGCAAAGATTTAAGAAAAATTTTACCGTTTAGAAATGTGAACAGTTATTTTTATATTGATCTTTTATCACAGCGTTTTCCACTTTTTTCTGTCTTGTTTCAGGAATCTACACACCACAACTAACCTCCTTCTTCTTTCGCTGGCTGTGTCTGATTTTCTTGTGGGTTTCGTGTTGATGCCTGGAGAAATCTTTCGAAACACAGCTTGCTGGTTCCTTGGGGATATTATGTGTTCTCTCTATAGTTACCTGGTGTGTCAAATAGTTTCTGGATCTATTGGAAGCATTGTTCTGATATCATTTGATCGTTATGTAGCAATCTGTCATCCCCTTCATTATGTAACCAGGATCACTTTAAGAAGAGTCAAGTGCTGTATTGGTATGTGTTGGCTTAGTGCAGGTTTTTACAGCATTTTCTATATGAAAGATGAGCTGATTCAACCAGGCAGAAGAAAATCTTGCTTTGGAGACTGTACATTGGTCATAAGTTATGTGACTGGAACTGTTGACCTTATTTTGAGTTTTATATTTCCAGTTTCAATTATTATACTTCTGTATATAAAAGTATTTATAGTGGCTTTGTCTCAGGCTCGTGCCATGCGCTCTCACATTACAGCTTTCACACTTAATCGTTCAGTAAACTTAGCACAAAAACGATCAGAATTAAAAGCTGCCAGGACTCTGGGTGTTCTAATTGTCGTATATCTAATGTGTTACTGTCCATATTACAGTTACTCCCTTGTTGAAATAAATGTGACCAGTACTGCATATGCACCATTTTTGATCTTTCTTTTTTATTTTAACTCCTGTCTAAACCCCTTGATATATGCCTTGTTCTATCCATGGTTCAGAAAAGCTATTAAGCTCATTGTCACTCTGCAGATACTGCAGCCTGGCTCCTGTGAAGTCAACATACTATAGATGTTGTACTTCTATCTATCTATCTATCTATCTATCTATCTATCTATCTATCTATCTATCTATCTAT